AGAGATCTCAAGAGGAAGTCTGTTTAGAGAGCAGTAATTCCAAGAAAACCAGGAGGAATCTGCATGACTTTTTAAAAGCCTCAGAAGTCACATGACACTATTTATTTGAGTAGCCCACTCAGATTCAAGGGCAAGGGATAGAACTGTCAAAGATTTGGGGCTTTGTTTTTAAACTCCCAAATCTCTGGCAGCATTTCCTAAATGTATCTCTTCTTTCTTGACTATTAATTCCAAAAGGGTTTTCAGTGTGTATCTTTGTGTAGGAAACCTTCTGAGGTCTAATATGAGTTTCTATTCTGCCTCACAATTTGGTTACATATAAATTCTATGTGGATTCAATGTCCTTTTCCTTTAACACTTTAAAAACATTACTCCGTTATCCCCTTTAAGTCAGATTACTCAAAATAAGCACTAGGTGCAATCTAATTCTTGTTCCTTTGTAAGTGATCTGCTCTTTGTCACTGGAAACTTTTCACAAATTTTTGTCTTTGATATTGTTACTATAAATGGGTGTAATGGTGGGGTTTCTCTTCCTCATATTTAACAGTCTTCAAGCACTTTCAGTCTAAGGTCTTTCATTCGTTTTTAATTTTGAGAAATTTATCTTATTTCTTCAAACATTTCTTCCTTTTTTATTCTCTCCTCTAGGATTCCTATTTATCTGGATAAAAGCCCTTCTGTACCTAACTTTCATATTTCTTGGTTTTTAATCAACGTGTTCTCTCTCTGTATCATTTAATACTGCATTCTCAGAGTTTCTCAATGTCATCTTACAACTCATTAATTTGCTCATCACGTATACATTTGACTACCACGCAGTCTACTGTATTTCTTTTTACTACATTTTTTGTACCTAATATTTCCATTTGGTTTGTGTTTTTATGGGTTTTTTTGTTCTTGTATTATATTGCGAATATCTTTATCATCTCTTTAAGTATATTTATTATGCTTATTTTTAATTTTGGTTAATCTTTTCCAATAATTCTCCATCAGATGGTATATGTTATTAACTTAGTTGTCTATCTTTGAAAATAATTGTACTATTCAGCTGACTAGTTTGGCTGTAAACTAATGTTCTTCAGGGGTACCAGCCACTCTGTCCGGTAATATGTATGGTCACCAGGCCCTAACTGTACGCAACTTGGTTAAGTGAAGAAGAGGATGAGCCCTAGAGCAATGAGCTCCAGGGATCTCAGAACTACTGCTGTGTACTCGAATTTGCGGGGCCTTCTCTAGGCAACTCCTCTGGTCAAGGTTCCAGTTAAACTCTTAGGGAGAAACAGTACTGGGCACAGAGAGTCTTCCAGGAGTTTAGGGAATGGGGAGAAGAGGTAGAAAAGTGATCCCCAAAGGGCAGGTAGTAAGGCCATACCAGTTTACATTAATGCCATCAGAGCCCTGGCAGACCTCTGAAATAAACTTGCAGGCCTGGGCACTGCTGCTCATTTCTGTGGTGAAGGAACAGGAAAAGACAGTTTCAAGGCAACACTAGTGAGAAATAACAATAGCACTTAGCTTTCTTCCGATCTATTTTGCCACTGCTACCTCTGCCAGTCCTTAGTCCCAGGCTATAGCCACCGCTCCCACACATCATACCCTACTCACTCATAAAGAAGTTCAGGAGAGCCTAAGTCTCCTGCATTTCCCTCTCATTCCTCTAGTTTTTTAGAGTTGACTTGAGGTGAGGAAGTCAACAACTGGGACTAGTTTGACAGAAACTAGAAACCAGCCTAGAAACTATTTTCTTCATCAAAGGTGTAACACTTTTGCTCAATTTCAACCACTCAATCTAGTTCAGAAATTTGAGGCAAGCAGATGAATTAAGTTATAGTTAACATATTTAATAGAATATCTTATCACCAAAAAAGTAACCTTGGGGCATCTAGTTTAGAGAGTAATGGTAAGTACTTCCTAATTCTGTCATGGATACTCAACATCTTTAGCTTCACACCTTTGAAAACACATTATATTTTATTTTTCTAACTTTTCATCAACCTTGGACTTATAAAGCACTCTGTGTAAACATTTGGGTAAAATTTTTTTAAATCCTCTATAGACGTTTTGCTCACCAAGATTCTTGACATGTAAGTGTCTTTAAGCACCACAATTCCCCAGTTCTCTACTCAGGATAAAAGACCATGACAGGTACTTTCAAAACACACATGTACAACCTTTAGCCTCAAGCTGATCTAAAACTACATTAGCAAAGAGAAGTTAGCAAATAGAATGCTATTTCAATAGTAGGCAAGAAATTAAAGAGCCTAACAACCTACAAACAAGTGAGGTTGGGGAAAAAGAGAGAGAATTGATGGACTTGGGTTTTTCCCTATAACAAGGATATCAAAAAAACTAATTCAACCTTAAATTTCGCTAAGGAATACAGTATCTAGAGCCAAGGAGGTAATGCTTTTGCTCTATTCTGTACTGGTGAGAAGATATCAACTCTTTTTAGTTCTGAGCACCATACTACATGCTCTAGAGGTCAAAATCGTCTTAAATTTTGCCAATATAATTTTGGGGAAAATGGTATCTTTCAAATTTATATTTTTCTAATTACTAGGAAGGTTGACTATCTACTGATGAAGAAATGCAAATAACAGCCTCGGCCGGGTGGCTCAGATGTTTGGAGTGTCACCAAAAGGTTGAGGGTTTGATTCCCAGTCAGGGCACATACCTGGGTTGCGGGTTTAATCCCGGTTGGGGCACATATGGGAGGCAACCAACTGATATTTCTCTCTCATATCGATGTTTCTCTCTCTGTCTCTCTGTCTCTAAAAATCAATAAAGAAACATATTCTTGGATGAGGATTAAAAAAAAGAAAGAAATGCAAATAATAATAAACTCCTGTGAAGTGCCTGCTCATATTCTTTATCAATTTTCCTTAGGTTACTTTATTTTTTTTTAAATCTGTTTCTGAAAGCTGTCTGTATTTTAAAGATCTGGACGCTTTCTCAGTATGTGTTACAAATATTTTCAACCAGTCTATCATTTGCATTTAGCCTTTACTTAAAAGACTGTTTTTATGTAACTTTTAAAAAAATGTATATGGTGTCAAAATTTGTTTGGTTTGCTTGACATGCTATTTTCTGTTTTTCCTAAGAGATAATAAAAATATTATCCCACTTTTTTATTCTTCACTTTTTCACGTTTAGAACTTTGAAGTAGAGATCCAGCTTTATTTTCTTCCACTTGAAAGTGTATTATGACAATACCCTTTAGTAAATAAAACACTTTCCTCCTAGGAACTGAATTGTAATTTTGATAATATTTGAAAGTTCCATAAATACTTGTAACAGCTCTATTTTATTCTTTTCTATTGTCTACTCTTGGGCCAGCACCATGCAGTTTTGATTAGAAAAGGTTTGCTGTAATTTTTAATATCTTGGCTTCCTTGCTCTTCTTCTTTTCTCAGTTTTCTATAATGTGTCCACTTAAGGAAGGGCACGTTCTCTAGGCACAGATAATAAGATGAAACTGGGTAAAAACTGTAATATATATGTGTTATCTTATAACTAAAAAATACAGTCAATTCAGTTAATAGGCAAAGTTTCAATTAAATTCCATACAATGAATAAAAATAAAATGGTAGAAAATAATCACATGGACAAATGCAACTGACAGGTATGGCAGACACTATGCCTCTCATTTGAGGCCAATAACAAGGCATTTTACATTGAAGGAAATTGAGGCACAGGTAGGAAAATGGAAGAGTGTGTTAGGCCAAGAATCTGATTATTAGAAAAAAGAAAAAGAAAAAACATCCACTAGTGGAGGTACAGGGACCAAACAAGACAGAGTTCACTAATATTTTATCTGTCTAATCCCATTCACATAAAGGTAAATAAATAAACTGGTTAATTCACAGCTGGTCATAGCCAACCTTCCATCTAACCGAGAACAATGGTTGAGCTCACGGAGGTAACAGGTATGTGAACTCCAAGGGCTGCTCTTTCGATTTTCAGAGATTATGAATCCACCCACAAATAGCATAAGAGAATATAAACATGCTATTGCCTTCCCCAGCCTAGAACCCTCAAACAGTCTGCTTTCCAATTCCTACCCAAAACACACTTGAGTCCTCCAGTATCCAAGAGAGTGGGAATGTGGCTACTCTACTGCCTACTCTTAAAACCCACAAAACGTACCAAACAAATATGAAACAACCTCAAACCACAGATCAGGAAGTGGTCTATTAAATACAATACAATTTGGGACAGGCTGATGATGAGTATCAGGAGCCAATATATTCCTCTATATATCCAAGTACTGTTGGATTTCCCTGAAAATAATCTAGAAGGTCTTAAAGATTTTTATTTAGAACAAAGATACTGAGGGTGCAGACAAATCATAGGAGACACAGCAAGTATTCCTCTGAGCATACATTTCCATATGAAAGAAGAGCAAGGGCAATGGGATAAAGAAGAGACTATGTGCACATGACAGGTTCATTTTCTCTGACTTCTAAATCAGAGAACCTATAAGGGGAGATGCTGTGATGTTCAGTGTTGCTTGAAAAGAAAGAAATCATCAAACAGATGACCATGTTACACTGAGAGCCACAGTGCACTCTCTGTTCTATGTGATCTATTCACCTGAAAGGCGGGAACGGCAGTGCTTAGGAGAGAAGTCTTTGTGAGAAAGCATCATGAGACAAAGAAAAGTGAAATAAACTATCCAGATGCCCACACTACTACCATACATAATAACAATAACGTCAAGCTCTTACCATATTCTAGTCACGATCCTGGGAGTTTTACAAATGCTAACTCTTTTAATCCTCAAAATGTCCCCAAGGAGGTAAGTACTCTTATTATCTCTATTTTACAGATGAGGAAAATGAGACTCAGAGAGGTTAAGTAAATTTCCTATAATTAGACAACTAGGGACTATAAGACCCAGGATTTGAACCCCAGCAGTCTAGTTTTAACATTAATGTTAAAAAATTGGCAAACCCATAACATACAAAGGATTCTTATTTATACAGGAAATATTGACATACCTTGTACTGTAAGCTCTGCTTGAGCTTCAACTGTTTCATTTCCATTATCAGCTACACAAAAATAAGTACCAGCATCGTCCTCAGTGACATCACTGATCTCCAGACTACCACCTGGCAGCAATACCAATCTTTCAGAGCTGCATAAAAAAATATTGATACATTTCACAACTAGGAAAATACCACCTGAGAAATTCTTCACATAAAACGGAGAAAACACTTAAGCAGTATTATTATTTACATGGCTTTAGATGGACAGAGACTACACAAAATTATCAGAATTTAACTTAGTCCAATTTGCTTTCCTCATATTTTTCATGCATAAATATCACAAATACAAATCAAAATGTTATAATGAATTATCTCTGACACTTCTAATTATTCCTAAAGGGATACCACTTTTGTGACCGATTCCACTACCCACAGTACATCCCTGCATCCCTACTCCGTCACTCAGTTTTTGGTTTTTCTTTTTTTGCAAATTATGTAATTTTGAAGTCTAGAATCAATCTTTGAGAGTCGCTCCACTACAGCTAGGCCACACTGAGATAACTGATAAAGAGGGCAAAATGTCAGATCAGAAACAGTAAGTGAGGGGGTCACAGTGCCTACTAAAAGTTTCCTATGGTGGCTTGGCTAGGAAAGGGAGGAAAGAGGAAGGGGAGAGAGAAGGGCAGCTGCCAGAGAGCAGCTTCCTGGGTGTGGTGGCTGGACATGAATCAGTGGCCATTATCAACAGGAACGCTGATCATTACCAACCCAACTCTACCACGTGATTTAAGTGTATTTAAAGAGAATATAGAGGAAGTAAAACAATCCTATAACATCAAGGGAGAAATCACAAATCAATATTATGATAAAATTTTAATAAAGTGAACCAGTTTAGTTCATTTGAAGAGTTTAGAGAGTTACGATTTTATTTTTATTTTGAGGTTCTATGTCTAAACTGGCTTTCATAGGCAGAACTTTTCTCTCAAATCTTCATACTGTTAGATTTTTTTGTCTGTATCTATGCTCAACAAGAAATGTTCTGATCATTTGGCTTTTCACTTAGAATTCTCGGTGGGGGGAAAAAATCAGACAGAATGACTATTCAGTCTATGCCACATTTATAATTCTCATCCTAAGTAAAGTGTGATTCTGGCTTAAATTTCAGTACACTGTGAGTTTGGGTAATTAGTCTTCCTGAATCTGATAAACAAGATTAAGTTTCTGGACAAAGAAAAAGGAAAACCAGAATCAGGTTTGGTAACTTCTCTAAGAAATATCCTGCAAGGTCTTTACTAAACCTTCTTAAGTGGCCTTCCTATTAGAAATATCTTAATTACACCCTCAAATCCCAACTTGATGTGATGGAAAAGAGAAGCAAGGCAATTTATAATGAATAGAGTAAGAATGACTGGGGCTCAGTAGATAAGACAAAATAAGAAAAAATTACAAATATTAAAATACTATATTTTACCCTTGGACAAAATCACTACTAAGCTTCAGAAGCAGAAAACCACGTTCACAAATGGGAAATCAGCGATATATACATGACACCCAGCTGAGAGAAATATAATCTGAAACACTAGTTGGTATGGTACTTTTGAAATCAAGACACAGTACTAATATCTAATGATTATACTAAAAATATTCCTAATACTTGTTATGCCTCACATTTGCCATAACTGAGTGCCAGTATAGTAGAAGTCAATCGGTCTTGATGGGATTGATTTTGCTCCCCTTAAAAGAAGCCTGAGAGGAAGAACATCTTTAACTTGTTCACAAACTATATGATGGCTTATAGTAAAATGCAATCAAGCCTTTACAACTCCAATCTTCAAAAATTCAGGCAAAAGAAACAATATGTGAAAAAGTATGCATTGTCAGTGTCCCAAGTTGAGTGTGCTGAACATGAGTGAGAGAGAGAGAATGTGTGTGTGTGTGTCCCTGAGTAGCCAGGGTCAGTCTAGGAGAGCTTGGTGTGCTAAGGAGACCTCTTTTTTGGCCAAGGGGGAAGGCTTTTAAAAAGATGAATAACATGATCAGAAACAAGAGTAGTGGGGGAAAAGACTAGAAGCAGGAAGTTTTATTGTAAAGTTATTTTAGTGGTCCAGAATTAAAAATAAAGAGATAAACTATGGCAGTAACAACAGGGGTAAAGACAAGGCAAAAAGTATTGACCACTCTTTAAAAAAGTTGGATGATGAAGGGAAGGAGAGGGATTTATTCATTCGGTTAAAACATTTATTGGTGTGCCTGTGTCAGGTAGCAGCTAGGGATGCAGCAGTGAGCAAACACACAATCAGTGCTGTCGTGCAACTCAGTGGGAAAGACAGACATAAAAGATAATTCTACAAAGTGCTGTATCAAAAGAACCTGCCAAGAAATTAGAATAGAGAGGTTTCCCTGACCACAGTAACACTTGAGCTGAGATCTGCAGAATGAGTAGGAGTTAACATAATGAGGGCGACAAAAAGATTTCAGAAAGACTAGCCCATGCAAAGAAATCGGCAGAAAGGATCACACTGGAGATCTGAATCTAACCAGTGTGGCAGGTGTAATAGAGAAAAAAAGAGAAAGATGAGGATGAAGCAGACCACACGAGGCTTTGAAAGCCATTTTAGAATCAGAGTCCTGCTCCAGCCAAGTAAATCAGTTGGTTGGAGCGTCGTCTTGTACACCAAAAAGATTGTGGCTTCGATTCCGTCTGAGCACATAACTAGGTTGTGGGTTCATTTACTGGTCGGGGCACGTATGAGGGGCAACCAATTGATGTTTCTCCCTCTCACATGGATGTTTCTCTCTCCCTCTCTCTAAAGCCAATTAAACACACACACACACACACACACACACACACACACACACACACACACACACACACATCCTTGGGGGAGGATTTAAAAAAAGAAAGAAACTGAGTCCTTAACCTAAAAACAGTGGAAATCCATAACCTAAAAACATTTTAGAAAGTGGCTGGGGGGTCGCCAGTGATGTGGTGAGTTTGAGCATTGAAAAGACTGGTCTGGCAGGAGTGTGAAGATGCATTTGGAACAAGGCCAGAGTACATATAGGAAGAAAAGTTAGGAGGTGACTGCGGTAATTGAGAGGATACTTACAAGTAGCTTGGAAGGAGGTAAAATGTCAGATCTTGTAGATAAGTGAACTGGATAGAGAAGTTGAGAAAGAGACAGGTGTCAAAGACAACTCTTAAAGTTGGGGCAATAAGTGTGAAGGGAAAAGCAAAAGGAAAATTACTTGTCTAACTTAGGGGTTTTTTGTGTGTTGTTATTTGAATGGGAGAGAGGTAAGCCTTTTAGGGGCCAAAGAGAAGGAGCCAATGAAGAGGAAAAATTTTGAAAAAAGTTCATAAAAGTGCTAGAGAAGATGGACACTAATAAGATCTAGAGCACAAAGGAACTTTTTAGACACTAAAACAGCAGAAAAGGAAGAATATATAAGTCTTATATACTCTCCGGCACAAAATTTATTGTCATTTTTTTCTTAAAACTTTTTATTTTGAGGTAACTAGACTCACATGCAGTTCTAAGAAATAATACAGAGAGAGACCATGTGTCCTTTACCCAGTTTTCCCCAGTGGTAACACCTTATAAATCTATAGTAGAGTACGTCAACCAGGATACTGACATTTCCATACCACTGCCTCATACTACCCTTTTATAGCTTCACCCACTTCCCTTTCACTCCCAGCTCCTCATTAACTCCTGGGAACCACTGATTTGTTTTCCGTTTCAGTATAATGTTATATAAATTTAGGGTGTCCCCCAAAATGTATACATACACTATGAATAATTATAAAGACAGTATTAAAATATATTTCATTTTCAAAATTGAGCTATCAGCTGTTAAAGCGTGTATACATTTTTGGGGGACACAGTGTAGAATCATACAGAATGTAACCTCTGGGGACTACCTTTTATTTATCTTTATTGTTGAAAGTCTTACAGATATCCCCTTTTTCTCCTCATTGATCCCCTCCATCCTGCACCCTCCCCAAGGCCTTCACCACACTAGTGTGTCCATGGGTTATGCATATAAGTTCTTAGGCTAATCTCTCCCCACCTGCCTTCCCTCTGAGAGTTGTCAGTTTGCTCCATGCTTCTATGTCTCTGGGGACTGGCTTTTTAAACGTAGCATAATTCTCTGAAAATTCATCCAGGTTGTTGCACGGATCAACAGTTCATTCATTTTATTGCTTAGCAGTAATTCCACAATATGGAGATAACATAGTTTATTTAACCACTTACTCAATGAAGGAAATCTGGGTGGTTTCCAGTTTGGTGCTATTATGAATAAAATGACTATAAATATACACGGAAAGGTTTCCATGTGAATGTAAATTCATCTCTATGGGATAAAAACCCAAGAGTGTAAATGTTAGGTCATATGGCAGCTGCACACATTAAGTGTTTTGTTGTTGTTTTAACAAGAGAAAACAAGTTTATTGCATATGCACATACGGGTTCCTTAAGAATATGGGAGCCAAGGACAATTTGGTCGGAGCTAAGGATAAAGAACAGGGGAGGTCCTGGTTTGGAACTCCAAAGGGGAGGAAGGCAATTCACCTGGAGATGAAAAGCAAATGTTTGGTAAACAAATGTTTGCTGAGCCATCTTTAACAATGGATAGAGGACTTTGATCAAATGGGTCTTGCTGGGTTCCTCCCTGTCCATCACACTTAGGTCATATCGAACTACAGTTGTCTGTGATGACAGCTCCCTTCTTTTTTTATGCTTTTTTTTAATGTTGAGTTTTGAGAGATCTTTTATACATTTTGGATACTAGTCCTTTGTTGGAGGCAAGGTTTGCAAATATTTTCTCTCACTCTGTAGCTTACCTTTTCATACTCTTTAACATGCCCTTTCACAGAGCAAGTTTTTAATTTTGATGAAATCCAATTTTTAATTTTGATGAAATCCAATTTTCAGTTTTTCCTTTATGGATTGTACCTTTGGTATCAAATCTAAGAATTCTGCCTAGCCCTTGATCCTGATTTTCTATGTTTCTTTTCTAAAATTTCATTTTGCATTTTACATTTGGTTCCATGATCCATTTTGAGTTAATTTTTTATATGAGATGTGAGGCTTAGGTTGAGGTTTATTTTTCTTTTTGTCTATGGATGGGTGTCCAACTGCTT